AGATTTGTCATGTACATTTACAAAATGAAATCTGTCAGACAGGTAGGATTTAAACCAGCCTAACGCTGTTCCTTTGATTCCTACAACATGTTCAAGTCTTTCTAAAAGAACATTGTGATCAACTGTGTCAAAGGCAGCACCGAGATCTAACAAGACTAGAACAGACACAAGATTCTTATCTGAGGCCATGAGAATATCATTTGTAACTCTCACTAATGCAGTTTCAGTGCTGTGATACTCTCTAAAACCAGACTGAAATTCCTCAAACAGAGCATTAGTGTTTAAATGCTGACATACTTGGATGGCCACTATTTTCTCCAGGACTTTGGATAAAAATGGAAGGTTAGATATTGGTCTGTAATTCATTGGGTCATCTGGATCCAGAGAAGGCTTCTTAAGTGAAGGTTTGATTACAGCAACCTTAAAATCTTGTGGTACATATCCATTTACTAAGGATAGATTGATTATATCTAGAATGGGGGCAGTAACAAGAGGAAATGCATCTTTAAATAATTTGGTTGGGATTGGATCCAAAATGCAAGTTGAAGGTTTAGATGAAGCTAATATTTTTGGTAACTCTGAAAGCTCAACTGGATCAAAACGGTTCAAGCACAGATGAGGTTCTACAGTCACCTCTGATGCTGCCTCACTTACTGAGGAAGAAGAAATCACATTAGGGAGGATGCTAAAGATTTTGTTTCTAATAGAATTAATTTTACTTGTAAAAAATCCCATGAAGTAATTGCTGCTGAGGGCTAAGGGAATAGATGGCTCAGAGCTACGATTCTGTGTAAGTTTAGCAACTGTACTGAAAAGAAATTTAGGATTATGCTTATTCTCCTCAATTAGTGCTGAGAAATAAGCAGTTCTAGTTTGTCGAAGCTTATTTTTAAAGCACAAGACTATTTTTCCAGGATAGGTAGGCCTCCTCATGGTGCGTAGAACGCCATGTTCTCTCCAATTTCCTAGAGTTTTGTTTTAAGGCTCGTAGATGAGAGTTAAACCAGGGAGCCAACTTCCTGTCCCTAATAACCTTCTTTTTTAAAGGGGCTACATCATCTAATGCCACACGTAAAGAGGAATTAACATGATGAACTAAGGCATCAATTTGTGAGGGGCTAGAACTGAAAATATTGCCCTCTGCTACATTCCTCTGAGATGCTGAGGACAGTAAAGATGGAACAGTTGATTTAAAAGACGCAACTGCGTTGTCAGATAGAGACCGACTATAATGAAATTTACTTTCATGTCTCGAGAACTCAGTTATAAAAAACTCAAAGGTTATCAGAAAGTGGTCCGAGAGGACTGGATTATGTGGAAAGATCGTTATTTCCTCACACTCAATGCCATAAGTCAGAACAAGGTCCAATGTATGATGGCAGGAGTGGGTGGAGCTATGTATTCTTTGAATGAAACCAATTGAGTCTAAGATATTGCTAAAGGCTACATTGAGGCAATCATTTTCGATGTCCACATGAATGTTGAAATCCCCCACTACAATGACCTTATCAGTATTTAGCACCAAATCAGATAAAAAATCAGAGATCTGATCCAAAAACTCAGAGTAAGGGCCTGGTGGACGATATAAAACTACAAACAAGAGTGGTTTTACAGTTTTGCAATCTGGATTAGGAAAACTAAGAATAAGATGTTCAAACGAACTGTAGCTATTAATCTGTAAGGGACTGATTAATAAGTCCGAATGAAAAATGGTTGCTACTCCTCCTCCTCGCCCTGTACTTCGAGCAATGTGATGATTTAAATAATTTGAAGGAGTCGACTCGTTTAAGCTAACATAGTCCTCTTGCTGCAGCCAGGATTCTGTGAGAGAGAGCAAAGAGATCTGATTATCACAAATCAAGTCATTAACAAAGTCTTAGAAAAAATGGATCTAATGTTCAATAACCCAGATTTAATTTTTCTAGTTTTCTGCTCAGTTGAATTTGTTCTAATATTTATGAGATTTCCATGATTTGCTTTATTAAGCCTGATATTTAATCTGTGTGGTTTTGGCCGTGGGCAGGACACTGTCTCTATGGGGTAGTGGGTGGGTAACAGTACAGAAGCTGCAGAGGGGTGGGTTAAACTACGACTCTGCTTCCTGGTCTGGACCCTGGGTTGTCATGGAGGACTAATAAAACTGGCCATGTTCCTAGAAAGAAGAGCTGCTCCATCCAAAGAGGGATGGATGCCGTCTCTCCGCATCAGACCAGGTTTTCCCCAAAAAGTTTTCCAATTATCAATGTAGCCCACGTTGTTTTCAGGACACCACCTAGACAACCAGCGGTTGAAGGACAGCATGCGGCTAAACATGTCATCACTGGTCCGATCAGGCAGGGGGCCAGAGAAAATTACGGAGTCTGACATTGTTTTGGCAAACTTACACACAGAAGCAACATTAATTTTAGTGACCTCCGATTGGCGTAACCGGGTGTCGTTACCGCCAGCGTGAATAATAATCTTACTGTATTTACACTTATCCTTAGTCAGCAGTTTCAGGTAAGATTTAATGTCGCCCGCTCTGGCCCCAGGTAAACATTTAACTATGGTTGCTGGAGTCTCTAATGCCACGTTTCTGACTATGGAGCTGCCAATGATCAGAGTCGGCTTGTCAGTGGGTGCGTCACTGAGCGGGGAAAATCTATTAGAAACGTGGACGGGTTGGTGGTGGCCCACGGGCTGGGTTCTATGCTTCCTGCGTACCGTCACCCAGCCGGCCTGAGGTCCTGGCTGCTCGGGTTCTGCTGGAGGGTCGCTACGGGGTTGTTCTGAGCTAGTTAGCCCCGCGCTAGCTAAGTAGCTACGGCTGTTTACAGGTTTTTCAACAGCGCGGAGCCGGGACTCCAATTCCGACATCCTCGCCTCCAAAGCTACAAAAATGCTACATTTATTACACGTACCATTATCACTAAAGGAGGCAGAGGAGTAACTAAACATCTGACACAGAGAGCAAGAGATAGGAGACGGAGAAGCAGAGGCAGAAGTAGCCATAGCCGTGCTGAGGCTAAGCTAACTGGACGAGCAGCAAACTGTTCAACACCAAATAAACTGCGTGCAAACTCAAATGGTTCCCTAAAAGCTAGGTGGAACAACAGAAAATGTGCGTTTTAGCGTGCTTTTGTGCTACAATAACTCAGAGATATCCAAGTACAGAGAAATTAAATCAGCTTTAGCGAGCCCCAAACACCAAACAGCTACACGGAGTGCAACACTGAAAACAGGAAACAGGAAACGCCTTACCGCCAGGTGCAGCCAATCCTAAAATAAAGGATTTTTATTCTTCAACTTCTCACTCCCCGTGTTGTTCTGGGTTCCTGCATTTTGTGTCCAAACCTCCTACCAACCCTGACACATACAAGTTGATTACACAAATGATAAAGCTGCAGTACAATTCCTTGGAGTGTGTCATGGATTTTATCAATATGTTTATCAATAAACCCATTTCCTGGAGTCGAGAAAAGGGACAAGAAACAATGAGGCAGACATACAACCAAATCATGATTTAGTGGCAAGTGCACAGGGCAAATGCCCTGAACATCTAGTCAGAGTTTATTTATGCCAAGAGATAAGAGAGGAATGGGAGTGGATCGTGTGTGTGTGTGTGTGAGAGAGAGAGAGAGTGTGTGTGAATTCTTTCAGGACATTCCTGAAAAGCCTAATTTATACTTCTCCATCTGCGTCGGACGGAGACACGCAACGCCATTATCTGTCCTTGTGAGCCTGCTGGAGAGCCCTCGCAAGGACGGACGAAGTCGAGCTCTCTTTTCTAAACATCCGTCCGATGAGACGTAGAATGCAAGCTTGTGATTGGTCAGGACGCAGCAGTCATCAGTAGCGCCGCCATTGTGCCCTCAAAATCAGAGAGACGAGGATATCTAGAGGCAGACACGGAGCAGCTTGGAAGAATACCTTTCAAAAAAACTCTAAAAATATGAATGTTTTATTCACCCGTGACTGGAGGAGTGAAAAGATATGCAGCAAGCGTTTTATTCGTGGACGTAAATGACAAGAAACGTGGGTTTAGAGGTGGCGAGTGCATGAAGCGGTGGAAGAGAATGAGGGACAAATGTGTCCGTGTTAAAAGTCTTAAATACAAAAAGTTCAATAAAAATATAATATGCACTAACTTGGACAGGATACATGACTCTGTTGTCCTGATGGGGAATAGCATCTGAAATGAATATTTGCCTTTCTTGCTTTGATTTATTGTGTTTGCTGTTCTTGTTTCTGTAAAGCCTTTGTTTTTCAGTTGTGCTAGATTCGAAACGGTGATCTGTGCTGCGGCTGCAACTCGAGCAATTAATATCCACACGTTTGCAATAAGATTTATGTAATTAATCAGTTTATCATTTAACTTCCACAAAATAGATACTGGATTAGATATACAGAAAACGAGATGTCTTGCCAACATTAAAATTCTGTCCTTCGTTAATTACAAGAGAGACAGGATGACTCGCTGGCTGCTTCCAGGTGAGCGAATTTCAAGTGCGTTGTGTTGGAGGCCCCCGGGTTAGCTGTTCCTGTTTGCTCTAAAAGTGAAGTTACTGATCCATTCTAAAAAAATGTGAATCATTCACGTGAAGCAGATTTGTATTTCATTGTTTGACAGCATTCTATATGTTTTGTTTACAATAAAATAATAATGTGGTTCAGAGAGTCCAAAAGCAACACAGCCCATGCCCACCTTCGTTTATCTTATTATGGCCTCTCCTGCACTTCTTAATCGTCGCCCACAGGCTCTGGGATTTCCATATTCCTGAAAACTCCTTCGGGACTACATGTGAGCACTGCACTGCCGGTACAAGACCGAACTAACTCTATCCTCCCGACTGTACTGACCCTAATGTGTAAGCGCCATATTGGTGTCCAGCCGGCCTGGTCACTTCAGGACCCACTAAGTTTCCATGGTGTTACAAATGAAGACTAAGAAGCTTCTGCATGGATGTGGTTGAGTGGGATGGGAGAATAAATCAGCTGTTAACACTGTGTTGTTGGTGTAGGAACCTCATCGTGTTTACCCATCTATTCCTGCCTACCTGCGCAGACCAGTTCGAGTTCTTTCTCTGTTCGATGGCATTGGGACAGGTAAGTTTCACCTTCTTATCCTCGCTCAATAAAAAATAAACTTCAATTAGAACACTAGTGAATGGCAAAAGTTTCATTAACAACATTATTATCAAGCAAAAATACAAAAACTAATACAAATGAGTGAGGCCATGTTCTTCCGCGTGTTTTTCTTAGGAGAGAATTTTCCCATGATTAAATTACACTTGACTCATGACCTAAGCTTGAAGAGGTGACACATCAACTACAGTCAGTTTGGCCACATTTTACTTACTAGTTTGGCCTATTGTTCAAAATCACATTCCTTGTATTTCCCATCTTTCACAATGTTCACCAGTCCCACCTGTCTCTGTCCCCTCAGGCTACTTGGTGTTGAAAGATCTCGGCTTTAAAGTGGAGAAGTATGTTGCCTCTGAGATTTGCGAAGATTCGGTTTGTGTGTCGACCATCAACCATGACGGGAAGGTATCCCATGTTGGTGACGTTCGATTCATCACCCAGGAAAATGTATGTTTTCTCTTCTGTGTAGAGTACACACCAAACACCTGTCTGCTGACCTAAACCTGCTTAACCTTGTTTACACACAGACATAATCAAAAGCTACAAATACAGAGTGAATCCTGAAATGTGCCTTTGAGCGGCAGCCAGCTACATACGCAACCCCCAAGATGAACACCATCTTTTCTGTACACCTGTTCAACAGTAAAATTAAAGCTACAATGGCAAATGTGAAAAATAAGCCTCTTAACAACGTAGTAGTATACATAACAGAGTAACATAGTATAGCTATAAGTATTTTGTTGGAGATTTATAGAAAAGAAGAATTAAAAGGACAGAACTCAGTCCAAAGCCAATCATTGGACCATCTGATTATGTGTCTCACCAAATCATTGCACTATCACATTTATCTGGGTCCTCCGTTCATTATGCACTCGTGCATTTGGCAACAGATCACCACTGCTGTGAGAAGCAGCTGGCTGGTACCACTTCAACTTTAGGACAAACTCCCTGAGTCCCAAAAAGAAAAGCAACATTTGAATTCACTGACAACAAAAGACCTAGAAATGGTGACTGGTGTTTAGCACTATTTCGTTAACTTTGGCAAAGTGGGTTCTGTAATCAGGCGGCACAACCTAGGGATGACAGCTGATGGAAGGAGCGCGTGTTTCATGATGGTGTTTAAAAGCGAGCTTGTTTTATAGATTTGTCAGTGCAGCTTTAATGAAGTAAATGTCATAATATTGACATGATGCACTCACACTGTAGTCATGACTAAATGATGTGCTCTGTCCTTAATCTGTGATTCTGCAGCTTGAGAAGTGGGGCCCATTTGATCTGTTGGTTGGCGGTAGCCCCTGTAATGACCTCTCCATCGTAAATCCAATTCGGAAGGGTCTCTATGGTATGTAGCTTTGGTCTTCAGCCATCCTTAATAGAAAAGTATTTACATTGATTTGTAATGTCATCTGCCAAGCAACCCATGTAACCTGATAACCCCTCTTACTGCTGCCATTGTTCAAGTCCGCCTGGCCATGTTTGTCTTTATCTTTTAATAAGTCTTACATAAAAGGTCCCATCTGCACTAAACGTTTACCTTATTTTCAGGACAAGCTTAGCTTTCAATATCTGTAAAGATTTTGCAGTTATTGGGTTTTAAATGACCCCAAACAGGATGTAATAACAGAATAAAACAAAAAACTGATTAGATTTTTCTTCAGAAGTGTATGAACAGAAAATGTACATGATCCAAAAATCTGAAATAGAGGAAATCAAACCTAACATGTATCCCAATCTGGTATTGAAACTCAGAGTTGCAGCTTATATTGCTGCTAACGTTCAGGTGCTTTTAGCTGCTGTGGTCTTCTGCAGAGCAGTTCTTGTCCTGCTGCAGACAAAACTCTCTCTTGCACTCTTAGCACATACAGGGAGTGTTTTCTTTTTACAGAGTGGACCTGTTTCACCCCTGACCTGCTCTCTGCAGTGTTTCCCCTAGGAATTTTTCCAGCGGTGGTGGTGGGGGGGTAAGGCTGGGATCAACTGATGACACCCGGTCGAACTAGCTACAAGTTAACCTGAAGCTAACCCAAAGCTAACGCGGAGGTGGGAGCTAAGCTAACGGAGGTAGCAACCTAGCCACAACCTAACCCTAACCAACATGTTATATTTCAACCCATTTTCTAAAGTGCAGCATTATGTTAAATGCACTGGGTTTTACCCTATTACATTTAAATTTCATGGTTAAACAGTACATGTTAACAAGATGGAGGGACTCCAAGCCCTTTCAAGGACTCAGCCAGAGTTTTGGCAGTTTCTGGACCGCTGGAGGAGATAATGCAAAGAAGGATTCTCCAGAGAATCAAGAACATGATGGACAACCCTGAGCATTCTCTTCACAAGACTGTCCGACAACGGAAGAGTGTCTTCAGTCAGAGGCTTCTTCAGTTTGGCTGCAACACTGACCGCTACTGGAGATCCTTCCTGCCAACAGCCATTGTAATATACAACAACTCTTTGATGACTTGATTATCATTATTATTCTGAGCTACTACAGCAATCAGTTTCCCTCTGGGATTAATAAAGTATTTTTGAATTTGAATTGAATGGAATAAAAATCTAAGCTCAGCTCGGCAGTGACCTAAAATACATAAATATAATTTTACTTACCGAAAAACATGAAGTGGAGACTCCTTTGACGCTCTATTAGTGCAATTAATACCACAGCAAGTCATTTTGTCCAACAATTGCACAAATAATATCCAAACAAGAACACACACACACAGAGACTCAAAATCCCGGAGCAGTTTCCAGGCCAGACCGAGGCTCTACTGAGGCCTTTCCACGGAGCTAGCTCTGTGGTCACGTGGGTCTGATGCTCATTAATTATACAGAATTTTAGGCTTTCAATACACTTAAACAGAAGAGTGAGAAAAAAATTCACCCCCCTCAGAGTTGTCATGAGCATAAACTAGATCATTTAAACCTAAAACATGTTCTGGTACCAGGCTGTAAACATGTTTATTTCTGCTGTGAAATTGGTATTTTTAACATGGGAGTCAATGAGGATTTGCTCGCTTCTGACACCAGCCCCTAGTGGATGAGGGTGGAACTGCAATTTTGGTACTTCCGGGATTGCTTCAATTTTTGAGCCGCGTTGTGGGGGCTTGGTAGTAACATTGCAGTAATTGTCTTATAAATGGCAATTGCGCCTTGGCGCAACATAGGGAGGTCTCATGATCTTGTGGGGAGTTACTGCTGAGCTCCAGCCGGCAACTCTATTGAAAATGAAAATAAACACAGACTGTACGTTTTTCTTTTTTAACAAAATCAAAACAGCTGAGACGCAAACAGGAGCGCTGCAGCATTCCTTTAGCTTCTCTTTGTTAGAGCTGAGCTCACATCGCCAGAGACTACCCGGGGACCGTGGTGGAAGACACCTTTAGGAGCGGCTAGTTAAAAAGACATAAATATTGCAGCTTCAGTTGCTATTAAAAGCTAAGTAATGCCCTAGGTAAATGGAAGTCCGCGGCCCCCATACCCCTTTTATGCCGCCATCACCTTATCTCTTATAAAAAAGGACTCTTGATTGCGCCACATTACCGCCACCACTTAAAACTACCTAAGGTTCTCTGGTGCCGCCACAGCGGTGCAGCAAATTGACGGCAGTGTTTTGTAAAGGTTAGTGAACAACAAATAAGAATTCAGAGGTTCAGCCATCACAGGCTCAGTGGCCAAGGAGTGTGTAGACCTGTGGCCCAGATTGCTTCTAATGCTGGCAGCATAGCCTGAGACTGACCTGTGTTTCAATACCAGGTACCAGTTACCGGGTGTTACTCCACCTGGACTAGGTACAGAGTGTTCCCACTTGGGTGGCCTCAGACACAGAACTTTAAGGCTCCCCCGCGGGAGGACATACAGCCGCCCATCAGTCACATCTGTATTTGCAAGGATGTGTGTGTAATCAGCCAGGCTGGGCAGAGTGGAGAGAAGTTGTGCCCGATGCTAGTGTGACCCTATTAATTCAGCTTAATTCAGTTAATTTCTGTAGCAACAAATCACGACAAGAGTCGTCTCAAGGACCTTCACACAGTAAACATTCCAGCACAGGTCAGGTCATTGAGGTTTAAGGTCGTCTTTATTAATCCTCAAGGGGGAAATTAAATTAAGGCAATCAGTAAAAAGTTTCCTATATAAGTAGGGCTGCACAATATATCCAAAAATTATCGTCATCGCGATAACAGGACGTGCGATAGGCCCATCGCAAAACACGGCAAAAACAGCGATAAATGTTTGGTTCAAACATTTCCATCCGTGTCATACATCAGCTTTTTGTAAACCAGCTCTGTTTTTTATGCGGAAGTATTATTTGACCAATCAAATGTAGTCCTTCTGATATGCGGCCAATCAGATGGTTCCATTCACGTAATACACCCGCCCCCTACGTAGACCCTTTTGGAAAGCAACACCCGAACAGAGTTTGCGGCACTGTTCCCGGTGTTGCCAACCTAGCGAATTTGTCACCATTTCTAACGACTTTTAAGACCCCCTTAACGACTTTTTTTAAAAAAAATAAATAAATAAAAACGCCTAGCGACAAATCTGGCGACATTTCTGACCCCCCTCAGCTACTTTGACTACAACTTTGTAGCAGACTTTACCTGCAGATGAGATATGCATCTGAAGCGACAGGACCGTCCTTCCTTCCAGAGGATCAGAAAGAAAATGATCTGCGCATGTGCGTGCAGCATGATCACGCTGCCCCCGTTGGCCAATCAAACCTTTTGTGGGTTTTCTTTCACAAGTCCATTACTTGAGATAGCCACCGGAGCTACATAAAGGGCGACCGCTCCTTCCGCCATCCAGCCTTATTTCGGCAGCTGAGCTCGGCTGGCACCAGCGTCGCACTCACCCATGGCTTCTCGCACCACTTGTGGTGCATTCACAGAACATTGGAACTCTATGATGAGTTCAGTAACGTAGCACATTTAAAACTTTTATAAAAAACAGAATAATAATGTAAGTCATTGGCAGTTTGCATGTAACGTTTCTGAATACTAAATACGGCCTGCTTCTTTTTACACAAAAGTACCAAAAACAACAAAACCAAACAAAATATATATATATATATATATATATATATATATATATATATATATATATATATTATCTTTTAGGTCAATTTATAGCACTGAATCACAACAGAAGAACACATCTCAAGGCACTTGAAAACTATAACAGAAAATTCATTTTAATTCGATCATACATACATTCCTATCAATTTAATATTTTTGTGTTTAAGAGTTCCATTCTCTACAGAAAAAATATAAATATTCCTTCTATTTTTTTGTGCCATCTTTCCTTGATGTTTTAAAGGCTGCTGTCTTGTATTCTATGGGGTTTTTATTTTAATAAAATATTAAAAAAAAGAAATTAAATAATTTTTTCAATAAAATCACGTGGGTTTTATTTGATTTACTCTGCAAGACCGGTGAAGTCATGACGCAAACGTGGTGACGTCATCACGCAAACCAGATGACGCCATTGCGTTGTATGCAAATTAGCACGTGACGTCATTTGGCGACATCTAGTGACTTTTGCGGGGAACTTCAGCTACTTTCAGTCAAAGTTGGCAACACTGGCCGTTCCTTGTTCCTCATGCTGGCTCAGAGCAACGAACGCACTTTGTGCTGATGTTTCTGGATTCAGCGCTGCTTTCAAACGTGAACGTGAGTCCGCTCGGTGTCGGTAATCATTTTTACCGGCCTGACTCCGACGCGTGCCGGTGAACCAACCTACCTTCATGTCGCTAGTGTTAGCCCCAGGCTCCGGTTAGCTTCCAGCTAAAAGGCTACAGCACTCTCCTCCCAGTCCCACCCTGCTAAAGAGGGCCTGGAAAAGTTCCCCCACACATCAAAGTGATTTTTCATTTATGAGCTTTTATAACCTTGTTAATCAGGATAGTTGATTTGCTGCTGCACATAAACTGTCAGTCAGAAGTTCTGCTAGCCGGTTATCTTAAGAGGAGCTAGTTCAGTTTGTTAGCTTGTTATCAGAATCATAGTTGCAGTTTCATCATCTGAGCTGCTTTTTAAGATCTAGGTAAACTTGTTCAATTTGGGGTTAAAAACAAACGTTTTCACATATTTTCCATGTAGTTTTTTGCCAGTTCCTCTTCTGAAAGGTAGACAATTGTTTTTCTGTTTCCCTCAGAAAATCTTAATGTCCTCCTAGTTTGGCCCAGCACAGTTCACTTCCCAGTTACAGCAACAGCCTTATATCATAACCACATAAGTGGAGAAAATGTTCAGTAGCAATGAGAGAATTTGCGGTTGCATTTAAGTGATGTTAACTATTATTTAACATTTAAACTTATTTTCAGATTTTTTTTATTTATTCTAAAACCCT